GGACCCGGAGAAAGATGGATGGAGAGTAACGAAGATGGAGAGAGAGAGAGAGAGAGAGAGAGAGAGAAAGAGAGAACAAAATTAAACAACGAGAGAAGAATAAAAATAATAAGAAAAGAAACAAACAATAAGAATTTTTGGGAGGGTTTCCTTTGGCTTCTATCACGCACACAACATTCATCGAAAAATTGGAAAATTAATTTAGAAATTTCTACGATCTATCTTTTTATCTTTATCTCTCTCTCTCTCTCTCTCTCTCTGGTTTTACAATTAGATTTCTAAACACGTATCGTCTAAACGTTTAGACCTTCGACCATTACGAATAGTTCAATGTCTAACGAACGATATTTTATCCGCTTTAAGATCATTTAAACTGTTATATGTGTTAAGCATCTGCCGAGAAAATGCTTACGTTTTCTAGATCCGCGTTACGATTGATTTTCAAAATGGCGTTGCCAATTCCTCACGGTACGCCATCTTTTTGGGACCTTTAAAGTTTATTATTAAATTCAGTAAATTCATTTTGTTAATTATTTTTCTATATTTGGTATTACGAAATAATTGCACGAGATACATAATTGTACATAAATAACATATTTGGAAGAATATAAATATAAATTATTATAATATATATATATATATGTATATTTTATATATTTTAAAAAGAAAAATGTATGAAAGTTGAAAGAAAGATGAAGGGAAGGAGATAAGGTTTAAACCTTTTATTGTTCAGGTATAGGTACTGTCATTGAGTAGAAAGCTCAAGATACGACAGCTGCATCAGCCCAAGCACAACTAATCCCAGTACTTTGATATTAAAAGGGTGGTCTCTATTCTTGTTTTCTCACAGGACACCCGATGGACAAATTCGACCCACTGACACTTTGTAAATTCTATACCTGTCGTTTTCTCGCTCTCTCTCTCTCTCTTTCTCTCTTTCTTTATCTTTCTTTTTATCGTATTTTTAAATGCTGCTATATAATTACCAAGCAACGAGGCTTTAGAATTGTTCGAAGGCGAGATCGAAAGTCTAACGGATGTGCACGAGTGAGTTTGTGGGTCTAAAAACCTAGTAGAACTTTGGTAATCATTTCTAACAACGTTCTAACATATTTACGCATTCTACTGATCATTATGACTATACGATTTTTAAAATTTCTCGCGAGATAGAAGAAATGAAATAAGAAAATTATGTCGGAGTTTTGTTCGATGGAAAATAAATAAAATATGTCAATGTAAAATGAAAGCACAAATTTTTTCACATTAAACGCAATCGTAAATGTTGTATCGCTTCGTTTGTTTGATTGCACGACGGCTCTCGAGTTTCTTTTATGAAAAATTGTCTGCGTTATAAGCGAAAACAAATAATTAAAAATAAAAATGAAAGAAAATAAAATCGGAGTTTCGAGGGCAAAATGGCGTCGCAAGGAAAAACAAGCAAGCAGATTTTTCCGAATACATATATCGAGGACGCTAACGTGCCAAGCAAAAGGGTGTGGAACGGTTTCTATTAATAATCGTGTTGCATCGTGTCCACACGTCGACCCGTCCAAGTTTTACGAACGGGCAGGATATTACCGACGAGCCAATGCAATTTCGTCACGATACAAATTCGTTTATGCATGTGTACCTTTCTATGCGCGTATCTGTAATTCGGATAAGTTACATTCACCTGGCTTCGTTGTAAAAAAAAAAAAATAAAAAAAACAACTTAAAAATGTTAGCCACGATCGATCTTGTAAAAAAGAAAAACGACAATTCTCGATTTTAAATCGATTTCACATAATTTTCGATTGACAATTTCTTCCAACCATTTGTATTGTTATTAATGTCATTCATTCACAAAAAACGAAAGGAAAATCCTTGACCAGTATTTCATTGTCATTGGTGAAAAGGGCCTTATGCCGTAAGGGTGAGAAGGAATTTAATTTCTTAACAAACCATCAAGACCCCTCCTCTCTTAGTCCCTTCGTCCTTTAGTACCGTTGTATCCTGTACCTACTACTATATACCATCGACAAAAGATAGAATAAGAAAGAACGAAAAAGTGAGCGGAAGGCAAATGGTTGAACCATTGTCAAAATTCTTCCTACCCTGTCATTATCGAACAGGTGTTAAAATGATTGTTGCTTTTTAAACTTTTCCAAGTCAATATCTTATAAAAATATATTATTTATTCGTACATACACACACACACACACACATAAAAGTATATAAGCATGCACATAAAAATATATAAAACAATTCGTTAATAACGTGACGAATGATCAAATAAAATATTTCAATTCGAATTTATAACATCAGCGCGAAAATTGCCGCCCCTTTTGACTGGACCAGTGACGTTACAGTTATAACCAGGGTCGTAAGTAGTATATGCAATACCCCTCGAGTACCGTTTTTGCAAACTGCACTGTATCTCTCAATCTCTTCCTTTCTCTTTGACTTTTCAAAAAATACAATAAAATGTATTGGTTGAAATCCAAATGCATTCGAATTTAAACGCTTATTTGTCATTCTCTTTCTCTCTCTTTGTTTCTCTTCTTTCTCAATCACGACGAGAGCAATCCATACGACCTGGAAATTGCGAAAAAGCGAGCTTTCGTATCCCTTTTTAGACGACACGAGTGCTACAAACGAAGATCCGGTTTCACTTGGCTTCGAGACAAGAGAGACAGAAAGAGAAAGAATGAATAAGAAAAAGAAAGAAAGAAAGAAATAGATGCAAAGCTTTCCGATTACAACGATCTAAATGACCGATCGCGTGTCCCTGGTTTTTTTAGGCTTGACTCTTTCTTTACATTTCAAATATCTCTTTTCTTTTTTTAGTTCGAAAGATGTTGTTTACGTTAACTGCTTGCACAAGGAAAAGAAATAGAAAGAGGGAGAAAAAGGGAGATTGAAAATAAAAAAGTCGGGTAAGTGGACTTATTTACTTCAGTTGGTTTAATGCTATTTTTATGATTTACAGAAAAACACTATACCAAGTTATTAATACATTATAATCTCTCTCTTTTTCTCTCTTTCTCTCTTCAATGAAAAATATATATAGAGGTATCCGAACCTTCTATCTTTCTGTTTTCCCTCTCTCTTGATCACTCCCAAATAAATGGCGCCAGGGAACGAACGCATACAAAGATACACGAATACGTTTCGCTCGTTGGTTGGTTCGTTCGCGTTCGTTTATAACCGTCCCGATATTTCATGAACGTTCTACTACATCATTTTCAGGGGAAAATCCAAGAGGGACTTCTCTTTGAAGGCAGGACGCGTTTGATCTCTCGAGGGAAAGCAAACGAAGCCAGAGTGAAATTACCTTGTCGTCGATCGGTGACGCATATCGAACGATAACCGAACGATAACCGAACGAACGAACTGATAGACGATCAACTTTAACAACTCTTTTTTTATAAATAACAAAAAGAAAATCTCATTTATTAAAAATTTAAGGGAAATTTTGAGAACAACAGGACAATAGAGTGATATAATTTTAAAGACCGTTCCCAACTGTGAATGATTTATCTACGTCTCTATATAGATCCTCATTCACTGACAATAAATTTTAGAAAAAAAAAAAAAAAAAAA